ATGAACCCTTTTGTACATACAGTACTGCATTGTCAGTGATGGCAAACATTGATCTATGGGTGGATACATGGGTGGACAGACTGAATGATTAGGTATGTCTACGTAGGGGGAGTGTGCCTATGACCATGTATAGGGTTGGCAGACAATGTTTCTACAAGCGTGTTTATATGTTCTGTAAGAATTTCCACGTATACAGTATAGCTGACAAGGCACAAGGCTGTAGTTACTTCTTGCTCACAGCCAGCTACCCAGAGGGAGCAAGTAGTTAGTTGGACCTGTGGACTTGGACTTGGGACAATGGTCGCAGGGGACATCAAGCTCAATTGGCATAACCAAAACCAAAACCAAACTCACTGTTGCTATTACATACTACACAAAAACATTGTTCCATATCTTACTTTGCAGGGTAGCAACTGGGATCTTAAAAGTTTGGAAGTGGCCATCTAGATGTAACGATAGGTCTCTCCTCGTCCAGAGCAAAGAAGAATGAAGAAAACAGAAGATTCATGGAAACAATCAGTCCAAGTAACTGGTACACCATGTGATCCTAGGCCTATAAGGCTATGAGACCTGAAGAACTAGATGGTGCCCAGCTACCACTGTCAACCACTAGGACGGGGAGCTATGTAGGAGATTCTGGATAGAGTAGGAGACAATGTGGAACAAAATTCAAACTCATTAAACAACAACAAAAAAAAGAGACCAGGTTTGCTTGTCTGATAGAGCCTGGTGGAACCCCTGAGACTATGGTCCCTAGCTGCCCTTTAGGTCTGGAGATGAACCCACTCTTGTGCCAGCCAAACAAAAGAAAGGCATATGAGCTGAACATTTATATTAGGTAGATACACTCCTTGGAGAGAACAATCATGGGAGAACAGAAGGGCTGTTGTATGCACAGGGAGAAAGCTGGCAGGGAGGCAGGAGTGCATGGGAGGGAAGGACACAGGGAAGAGGTAACTATGGGGAGAAAGTGGGAGGGGAGCTATTGCATTGTGGGATATTGGAGTCAATGTCACAAGACAAAGTGTATGTGAGCTGCTGTATGGAAAATGAATTTGCTCTGTAAACTTTCACCCAAAATCACAATAAAAATTAAAAGAAAAGAAAAGAAATCAGATGACATAGAGCACTGGGCAAAAGACCTCTTAGAAGTGTTAAAGAGCAAAAATGTCTCTTTGAACACTAAGGTGTGCTTAACCCAAGCCATGGTATTTTCAATCACTTCATATGCATGTGAAAGGTGGACAATGAATAAGGAAGACTAAAGAAGAGTTGGGAGCTCTGGTAGCATAGTGGCTAAGGCACTTGACTGCTAACCAGAAGGCTGACGGTTCAAACCCACCAGCCACTCCTCGGAAGGAAGATGGGGCAATCTACTTCCGTAGCGATACTGCCTCGGAAACCCAAAGAGAGGTCGCTATGAGTCGGGGCTGACTCGACGGCACATAACAACAACAACAACAAAAGAAGAGTTGATGCTTTTGAGTTGTGGTGTTGGCAAAGAATAATGAAAGTACCACGGACTGCCAGAAGTACTAAAAAATTTGTCCTGGAAGAAGTGCAACTGGAATGCTACTTGGAAGCAAGAATGGCCAGACTTTGTCTCACCTACTTTGGTCATGTTGTTAGAAAGGACCATTCCCTGGAGAAGGATATCATGCTTGGTAAAGTGGAGGGTCAGCAAAAAAGGGGAAGGCCCTCAATAAGATGGATTGACACAGTAGCTGCAAGGATGGTTTCAGGTACAGCAAGCATTCTGAGACTGGCACAGGACAGGGCAGTGTTTTTTCTATTGTACATAGGGTCGCTATGAGTTGTAGCTGACTCAACAGCACCTAACAACAACAACAACAGTTCATTAGGAAATAAGGCTATCAAAAATGGCCTTGGGTAAATCAATTTATGGCTAACCCACCTGTGCATAATCCTTAGCTTTGTTATGTGTCATCTTGGACTGCTTGTCATGAACCTCTTGAGAACAGTTGCTAGCCCAGTGGGGGACATTGTATTTGTTAGGACAAGTATTGCTTCTAAGTAACTGACAACTACCAGGAAAATAAAAATAAATAATGGATGACTAGAGGAATGAATAAAATATAATCACTAGTTATAGGTGACCACAGTTCATTTTCCTCAAGTTAATGCCAGTGGATTGATAAAATCACTATGGCAGATCAAGTCTTTGGGATTTATCATAAAAAGCCAACTGTTTAAGAATCTCATAACAAATAGAGGTAGATTTCTTCGGAAACAATAAGCATCTACTCTCCAAGAACATAAATACAGGGCATTCTAAACTCATCTTGATCATTTGATGGAGCCTTGTTGAAGAAACTCAATTTTTAGGTGAAAACTGTTGAGCCACCCTCAAATATAATTATATGTGAAGACAATTCACAAGTAACCATGGGATACATATTTTTGAATTTCAAGAATTCATAATCCTAATAAAAGTTTAAAGTAGGAAACAAAATGATAAACAGTATGAACAACGATGTGACAAAAAGCATGTATGTAAAACCAGATCCAGCGGAAATAATCCAAAATATTGTGTTTGGGGCAATGAAACTAAAAGTCATTATTTTTCTAAAATATTTTTGAGAGCTATAGTATTTGTAGGGATCTCTGGTAGCATAGTGGCTAAAAGCACTTGACTGCTAACCAGAAGGCTGGAGGTTCAAACCCACCAGCCACTCCTCGGAAGGAAGGTTGGGCAATCCTACTTCC